CCGACGCCCGACGCCCGACGACGACGCGGATGAACGAGGGGCGGCGGACGCCCGACGACCGACGGACGACGGACGACGACCGACCACGAACGACGACGGCCGGCGGCGGCGTCGTGGCCGCCTTCGCCGACAGCGCCGCCGAACCCTTCGCCGCCGCCGCGGCGGCGGCGTCTCCGCCCGCCGCCCGCGCCGGCGGGCGCCCCGCGGCGGCAGGGCCTGGCGGGGCCGCCGCGGTGCGCCCGCCGGAAGGGCGGGCGGCGGACGGCGCCTCTCGCCGCGGCGGGCGCGGCGCCGTGGCCTCGCAGCTGCGCGCGGCCGCGCGCGGCCGCGCGCGGCGGCGCGCGGCGGCGGCGCGCCGTCGCGCGCGCCGTCCGAGTCGTCGCCGTCGTCCCCGCCGCTCGCCAGCGCAGTCGCCGCCCGCGGCAGCTGGCGGGCGGCGGCGGCGGCCACGGGGACGGAGGCGGCGGCGAGGGCGGCGGCGGCGGCGGCGACGACCGCTCCCACTCTTCCCAGTTCCCTTTTCTGGCCCTCCTGTTCCCGTTTTTCGCTCCTTCCGTCGCCTTCCGTTCCGCCTCTCTCCCTCCCCGCGGCCCCCTTCCCTCCCTACTTTCTTTTCCCTCCTCCCCTCCGCGCCACACTTGCTTCTCCTGAGAAACGCTGGTCGGCCGCACCGCGCCACACCACTCCAGACAAAGAGTTGGGCAGTTCGTCGACCAGCTCAGCTGCGGCCCCTGGCCAGGACGAGGAGAACGAGCAGCGGGGGGGAAGAGGACAACCGAGAAGGGGCCAGGATCGCAATCGACAGGCGCCGCAACAGAAAGACGCTGAAAACTGCAAAGTTCCCCCCCAGGTGCCGCGCAAACGCCAGCGTGCGTCTCGCGATCGCCACAGGCCACCGGGCGTTCCCTGCGCGCGGCCAAAGAACTCATTTGCAAAAGGGTTCGAAGATTCTGACATAATCATAAATAGACGCACTGCTCTATCTCCTCAATAATCTAGATCGGAAGATCAGCATGGCTAGAATATAAAATCGTTAGACACAAATCTAAAGCTAAACACATCATATACAAATGTGTATATATACATATATATCGAAAAGAACCTGCCGGCCGAGGGCGCACCCCTTTTCCCACATAACTGTAACCGTTACGTCTTCGAGCGGTCAAACACCCATGAGGCGTAGTCCGACGGCGGCGGCGGCGAAGAAGGCGAGGAAAGAACCTGATTAACTCCCCCCGCAGCAGGATGCCTAGTTCTGGCTCCAGCTCACGTCGGAATTGCCAGATTTCGCGCCATCCCCAAACACATTGGCCCCCAAGGTGCCAACCGCAATAAGATTTTACGGCACACGAGACGGGATGGCAGCTACTCCTGGCGGAGCTCTTGAAGCAAGCCGAGACAGACTGACGTATCCCACAAATAGAACAGCGCGCCAGCTCATGGTCAAATTCTTCGTCGGGGATGCCGCCGTGATCTCTAAGAACATGTAGTCGCTGGGGCTTTCTTGGCCACATACTCCGCTCATGGTCAAGAACACGCTTAAGTTCACGGCTCAATTCGTGATGAAGTCCGAGACAGTGCACGGCTTAGCCTAGACGAGCATTCTCTCCTGATCCGCAGCCAAAGAAGTTATTAGTTTTCTGCATCCGATGTCCAAACTGATAATGACATAACTGTCCATCCCCTGTGCCTATGCGGGTTTTCCAATCAAGATCATTGGGTCTGAACCTGTTGATTCAATACCGATGGTTCGACCATTGCCACCTCTGCTTGCACTCATGGTAGGCATGGCAGCCCTGGCCCGCATACTAATGTCGGGTCGGGTCCCAGTCTCCAGCGTCATCTTGGTCGCATTCCCTCTGCACCTCTTCTCTTACACGGCGCTAAATAGAGGATGCCACTGACGCGGAGGCAACCGACGGGGCCTCCACCAGGAACACCTCATTGCCTACTCGGAGTTCGCCCGTACACCTGACCCTCGGCGGCGGCGAAACGCCAGTGCGGCCGGGAGCCTGTCTCTTCGGTGCGGCTGGGTCATCAGGGCGACAAGCAAGTTGTGCAGTTGGGGGGGGGGGGGGGGGGCAGAAGCCTGCGTAGAGGCGCAGGACCCCTGGTTGAACCCGCAGTCGCACCAGGGGCAGGGTCAGTATCCATCGCGGTGCCTGCGCCAAGAGCATTGCAGCTGACGTCAGCAGCGGCACCGGGTGCACTGATGGGACTCAAGTGCGGGCAAGACTTGTGTCCATATCCACTGCAGCTTGGGGTTTCGGGCTTCCTTCCCCCGAAAGCCGAGGAGCACTGGATATGGATAAAAAGCAGGCCCCTACTAGAGGCTCGAATTTTATCCATATCCAGTGCGCCTCGGCCTTGCGGCGCCCCTTCCGCGAAAGTCCAAGACGCCCTGGATATGGACATAAATATTGCCCGCATCAAGGCAGCACCTGGGGCGACGCCACTGGCTGAGCCATCAACAGCCTCGGCGCCTGCCTCGCCAGGTGACGCCACAGCGGCAGAATCTGGCACACCGCCGGTTCAATCGGCAGCATCGTCCACAACCACTGGGGCTCATTTCCGGCCAGGACGGCAATGGGTCGTCCACCCTCCTTGCATGCACGAAATACGCCAAAAGGAGATCGCTGCAACTTTCTCATCGTATTCGGCCACTGCCAGGCCCCAGAGCTCACCGGTGTCTCCAACAGTTTGTTCTCGCCAATCAAGTTGGCCGCCGAAGCCCTCAATGCACGAATGAATCGTGGCGGCGAGGGGTCGTGGCGGAGACCTGAGGTTTAACAGTCACTCCAGATTTCGTAATCCCACCAGCCCTTTGGGCGTGAGTGGTTTAGCGAGCTCTCTCTGTCCTCAACCCCCCTTCTTCCCCTTCGGGGAGGGGTTTACCCCTCCCCTACCCCCTCCCCCTGGGCCTGGAGAGGGGGTCCCGCGGGTCGTCAGGGGGGTCAATTTCGACTCCTGGGAGGGCTAAAAAACGACGACCCTCACGAGGATTCTGGCCCCGACGGGGGGGCGGAGATAAGTCCCTCTCCTCTTCTGTGAAGCCAAAAACATTGATTTTACTAGGGTTTTGGCCCCATTTTGGACTTCTGAGGGGGCAGCGCTCATCGTCCTTCATAGCAAAATCATTGATTTTACGAAGGTTTTGGCCTCATTTTGTCCTTCTCAGGGGGCAGCTCTTCTTTGCGCTTCTGAGGAGGTCGCAAGAGGCCCCAAGATGTCCCCAAGAGGCCCCCAGGAGGCTCCCAAGAGGCCTCCAAGAGACCCCCCAGAGGCCCCCAAACGGCCCCAAGAGGCCCCCAAGAGGCCCCCAAGAGGCCCCCAAGAGGCCCCCAAGAGGCCCCAAGAGGCCCCCAAGAGGCCCCCAAGAGGCCCCCAAGAGGCCCCCAAGAGGCCCCAAGAGGCTCCAAGAGGCCCCCAAGAGGCCCCACGAGGAGCCCGAACGACTCACACCAGGACGAGGGGCCCGAACGACTCACACCACGAAGGAGCCCCGACTCACACCACGACGAAGGCCCCGAACGACTCACACCACGAGGAGCCCGAACGAGTCACACCAGGACGAGGGCCCGAACGACTCACACCACGAGAGCCCGAACGACTCACACCAGGACGAAGAGCCCGAACGACTCACACCACGAAGAGCCCGAACGACTCACACCAGGAAGAAGGGCCCGAACGACTCAGACCAGGACGAGAAACCCCAAACGACTCAAACCACGAGGAGCGCTTTCTCTCCCTCCTCCTTCGCCTCGTCCTTCTCCCGCTCCCCCCACAAGGAGGATGTACAAGGAGGCGGGAGGAAGGAGGAACAGGGGAGATATGCGGGGCCAAGCGGACACACGCCTGAAAAACACGACTGTCGGCATGCTTCGCGAGAGTTGCTGCTGTGAGATGGGCTGGTGGGGATACGCGAAGCGTAAAGAATAAAGGGAGGGGGGTCTCATTTCGGGGGGGGTCTTTTCCAAGCTATCTTGGAGGGCCTGGGGGGGTCTGGGGACGATGTTTTGGAGGGTTCTCCCACGGGGGAGGTCTGAAATGGCTTCTCTTGGAGGGTCCAAACCCCCTCCCTTTTATTACGAAATCTGGAGTAAACACCGAATCTTCAATGTACGCCTCAACTAAATCCGAGCTCTCAGCTGCCGACCGCATCTCCGCACGGACGCAGGAGCAGGCATGGGATGCCAAGCGTTTCCCGGGACTGGATGCTGTCGGCACCCATGCGGTCGTGCGCTTTGACCCCGACGGGGAGGACCGCGCTGCCGTAGCAACTGCGTTTGTCAGCCGCTGCTGCCGTGGCCGCGTCGCCCACATTCCCGCTGGCCCGCGCGTACAGCCCATCATGGGGGGCACCTGATGGACACGCCGATGCAGTGCGACCAGACCGATCCAGGGAACGCAGAGGCAACGTTCAAGATTGTGTTCCTGCGCCTCCGCCCTCCCCCCTCCCTCCCCTCTTCCCCAGTCCCCCCCATCCCACCTCCCCACCGCCCTCCCCCCCCCTCAGGCTCTCATGCTCGAGGCTCAGGCGTGTGCACGGGCGCTCCAGCACCTCTGAGCGGTCCCATCGTCGAGCGAGGCTAGCGAAAAAGCACCTTTCCTATCTCATGGTGTCGCAGTGATATTCTCCCCCCCCTCCCACCCACCCACCCACCCCTCATCAAGCCTTTCCATCCCCATCTCCATCTCCTCCCTGTCTTCCTCCCCCTGCCCCCCCGGCCACGCCGCCGCCGCCGCCGCCGCCGACCTTTGCCAACATCCCCCCGCGCCCCCATTCGCCGCCGCCGCCGTTCGCCGACGTTCGCCGCCGCCGCTCGCCGCTCGCCGCCGCCGCCGCTCGCCGCCGACGTACGCCGCCGACGTTCGTCGGAGGCGCCCGCTGCCGCAACTCGCTGCTGCTCGCCGCCGCCGCTCGTCGGCGGCGCCCGCCATCGCCTTTCGTCGGCGGCGCCTGAATGGCGGCGGCCGCCGCCGCCGCCGCTGGGCGGGTG